ATACATCAAAAAAAAAAAAAAAAAAGCTTTTTAATTACTATGTAAATATAATGTATACAAAAAATATAATGCATAAAAGTGTGATTTTTAAGTTTATTTCACGCACAATACGAATTATAAATGGCAACCATCGAGTAAGTTTTGTTATGATTGTTTTATATATAAGTTTTAAGGCACTGATCTCTATAATAACTGGATAGCGCATCTCTATTATCAAAAGTGAAGCCAATATTTTGTACGGCCGCCATATTAGAAAGCCCCAGAATACCGAAAATACAGTCATTGCCTTGAAGATGTACCTTTTTACTTCGTTTATATCTACTCGACCAAGTCACATATTTCAATGATATTATTATATTTAAAATGTTTGAAGGTGTAAATATTATAAAAGGGAATTAAAAACACGCAAAACATTAACGACGAAGAGAAATATCGCTATAAAGAAATAATAAAATTTGTATCGCTTTCTATGAACTTGTTAAATTTATTGAATTCATGATATTCTAAATAAAACTTTTCTGAAAGACAAATTGATATTTGATCTGGTTTCTTTTGGGTGTTTAATTTAACAACTTGATGCGACCTTATTTAGCAATAGTAGCTGGAAAGTAACTTTACAAGTATAAAACATGACAAAAACATTGTATCAAACGTTTTTGTAAATGGTTTTCTAATTTTTGAAACTCTGAGGGCATGTTTATATTGTTCCACAACTGAAATATCATCAATTATGCAATACTTTATTAAAACTGATATCACTTAATAACAATGTTTTGTTCTGTTGCTTTGCTAACTTTAATTACACTTTGTGAAGGTTTGAAAAAGCCATCTCTAACTTTAAAAAACACTAGATATTTGGTGATAACTAGTTATTTGCAGTTTTACATTAAAGTATTTAGTGTTTTAGACTAAATAACAGCATCACATATATGTTGATTGTTTATATGTAAATATAGTATAAATGAAAACAGACATGGTTTCCTTCAAGTTTTTTTACAACTATTGACTCTAAAGTAAAATAATAATGATTCAGCTAACATCTATCAGTTTTATACTGATAAATATTAGTTGTATAATTAATAAATATTAGAAATATTTCTTGTGAAAACAAGTAAGCAACATAAAAGACCAAAATGAAAGGTGAACAATTTTTTTTATAAGTGTACATACTTTTTTACTTTTCCCTACCACATAATACCTTTTTATTCAATGTTTATTTTGTTATTCAATGCTTATACAAGTTATTCAATGATTATTTTGTTCAAGATGATAGAGCTAACTATTATTTTGTTTACATTTTTTTACTTTAACATATTATTTTGTAATTGCAATATCTTGTACAAATGTTCTGGTGTTGTGAAAATGTCTAATGGCATTTACAAAAATGTCTTGAAAGTATTTTTCGACAGTTAAGCGTTAAGTTAATTTATATATATATATATATATATATATATATATATATATATATATATATATATATATATATATATATATATATATATATATATATATATATATATATATATATATATATATATATATATATATACACACACGCAAGAACAAAATTATTAAAAGTAAATATAAAGATTTGCTATATGTTGCCTAAGGAACCTTTAGGTTGTATTACAATCACATTGCATAACTAATGATTCATACAGCAAACTTGTAAGCTGTTTACCTTGCAAATATGTTACAAGTCTCAGGCATTTTGCAGAGGGCAACTAAGAATCAAAAGATGCATATTAATATACACTTGCATGCTATTATAATAATATTATACCAGGGTGGCCAGCTAATTGGAAATCATGGAAAAGTCGGAATTTTTTTCTAGTCAGGGAAATCAGGGAAAAATATCTTTTTTGAAAATTTAATTTTTTTTAAAGGTTTTTTTTTACTTACTCCCAAACAACAAAACTTAAAAATTCAAAACTTCAAAATATAACTGAGTCAGGGAAAAATATAAAAAGTCAGGAAATTTAATTCTTGAAAGTGGCTGGCCACCCTGTATACATAATTTATATATATATATATATATATATATATATATATATATATATATATATATATATATATATATATATATATATATATATATATTATATATATATATATATTTATATATATATATATATATATATATATATATATATATATATATATATATATATATATATATATATATATATATATATATATATATATATATATATATATATATATATGTTTATATATATATAATATATATATAAACATATATATATATATATATATATATATATATATATATATATATATATATATATATATATATATATATTTATTTATTTATTTATGTCACTCTCCATCAAATAATCTGAACATATAACATCAGATTTACTCGGTTTTTAATAATTAATTCATTTACAAGGTTTTTGCATTCTTTATTTATCAAGCGAAATCTGTGTTTTAAGCGCATATAAGTTTAACGCAACTACAGATTTATAAATTCTGGGGCTTTCCAATATGGCGCCTTTTGGCTTCAAAAATTTCGAAATTTTATTAGGAGATGCGCTATCCAGTTATTATATAGATCAATGTTTTAATGTGAGTTTCCACCACTGATCTCAAAATATAACTATATAGTTATATTTTGAGAAAAATATAACTATATAGTTATATTTTGAGATCAACTATATAGTTATATTTTTCTCAAAATATAACTATATAGTTATATTTTGAGATCTGTGGTTTCCACTCATCCGTTTTTTCACGGGAACGGGAAAGGAAAGGAAAAAATAATCACGTGATCATGCGTAGTTTTCCTTTGGACATATTAAAACTTATACTACGCATGCCCACGTGATTATTTTTCCTAACCCTTTCCCGTTCCCGTAAAAAAACGGATTAGTGGAAACTCGCCTTAAACCTTTTGGGAACCTTATGGGAAACCCGTCAAATCCCCAGATTCTTCGGCCCTGATAAAAATCAGATAAAACCCAAACGAGCAAATATGCTTAATTTTATTACCATGTAAAACACTTACCCGTAAAAATCCCGTTTCCATAAGCCTAGACAAAAACCATACGGTACCCGTCTGTCAATGTTGGCTGGCCAGGCGGCGTGACAGCTCTCGGCGGCCCTGTATCTGGCCATACATTTGGTTATCAGTACACATCAGCGTCTTTTTGGTAACTTTTCTTTCAAACAAAACTTTTTTTTTTGTTCTTTGCGTAATTAATTTTTTCAGATTTGAATAATTGTACAGATTTTAAGAATTTATTCGTTTACAAAATTCACTTCAGCAGCGAAGTCATTTACACTTTTTTTTAGCAAACAAAGAAGCAGAAATACTAACAAAAGAATCTCGATGTTTAAAATTGTTACAATTACAACATAAGGTGTTTAAATTTCTTTTTATGTATTTTCGCAATATTTTTTTATAATACGTAAAGTACGCTTATTTTATTAGCAAATCGAATTGAATTCCTTTTGATTGCGCGTGCAAGTTTAACATGTTGTTCTCCGTCGTAGATAAGGCTTTTTAACGTCGTGCTATGTTGATGTAATATCTAAGTGAAAATTTTGAAATTATTTCTCGAACTTTTAATAAAATAAGTTTTTTTTATTGAAAAGTAACTTAAAACTAAAAGTTATTTTTATGATTTTGGGCTTGTAAAAGTAGTTTCTTTAAAAAAAAATTGTATTATAACGTGGTCCAGAGACGATTCTACGGTGATAGGGAGAGGGGGAGAGGTGTTATATCCCTCGGTTCCCAAAGAAGGCATTTTGCAAGTTGTAGTCAGTTCTTTGAGGAATATAGTCGACTAGTAGGATAAATAACAATTTGAGTTGGGCAACTTTTAGTTTCGAAGGTCTTTTTTCTTTTTACTTTTTTTTTAGAAAGCAGCCGGTACTTTTTAAGGGTTCGCCTCCTCCCTAATTTTATTTCTAGAATCTTCTTAGTCCGAGCATAGAACATTGTGATAAATAGAGACAAAGTTCTTTGTTATAAACATATTGTTAATGATTTGTAAAATAGCTTTTGAACCAACTAACACGCAGACAGACATTTAGTGTCAATAATTATAGCTGACACATTGCACATTTAAACTCGATTTTACATTTGCCTCGCGTTTTTCATCGTATTTTACAAATATTTTAATATCGTACAAATATTTTAATATCGCGCGTGGGTTTTTAATTTTTAGGAAAGTATGTTTTTTTCTTTTTAACCTGATAAAAGTTCAGATTTGTTAAGACACGCAAATAATATGATTTGTCCGCATGTCTATATATATTATTAAAAAAAAAAGTAAATTGCAAGTGTCACGAGTATGAAATGTAAATCTATGTGTCAAAGTATAAATATATATATATATATATACATATATATATATATATATATATATATATATATATATATATATATATATATATATATATATATATATATATATATATGTATATATATATGTATATATATATCTATACATATATATATATAATATATATATATATATATATATATATATATATATATATATATATATATATATACATACATATATATATATATATATATATATATATATATATATATATATATATATATATATATATATGTATATATATATATATACATATATATATATATATATATATATATATATATATATATATATATATATATATATATATATATATATATATATATATATATATATATATATATATATGTATATATAATATATATATATATATATATATATATATATATATATATATATATATATATATATATATATATATATATATATATACATGAATAATTTGAATAATTTTTTATATTTTTATCGTAATAATTTGTATTGATAATCATATAAATTTATATTTCTCAAAGTATTTATTTTTTATTTGAACTTTTTCAAATTTTTGCAAAGTCTTCAAACTATGCTATGCTTCTATGAAACTGATTACTAAAATAAATTTTATACTTAAAGTATCTTATTGTCTTCTAGAAAATTCAAAAATATGGGGACATATCTTTCTTCCCCTAAAACTGAAAAAATATCTCAAGACATGAGTTATCCACATATTGACTATGGAGTATCAGGAATGCAGGGTTGGAGGATTTCTATGGAGGTAACAGGTGGCTTTAATTATTTTAATGCTACATTTAATTTTTACAACAATACAACATTTTAAAAAGTTTTACATAGTTTAAGAAAATTTTTTAGATAATCATAATTTTTTAATTTGTGAAATAATTTCTTATATTGTTTTCTTTTTGATGCTATGAAACTTAAGTGGTTGATATCTTTTTTTTTTGAATTTATCCGACTCTCATGAAATTATTATATCAGCTTATTGACTCTATTTATCTATATATCATTTCTTGTCTCTGCATCAAGTCATGAATCTTGTGTGAGATTAAAACTTTTTCTGCGAAAGACACTGATAATTAGATAGGGTGGAGATTATGACAATATTTATTTTAGCCATTTCTCAATTGAAATTAGCTAAGATATACCACCCTCTCCTGACCCCATGAATCAAGTACACCTCTACCCAAGATAGAGTTGATAATTTGAGAGCATGTTTAAAATATAATAAAAATAATATTTAACAATAATCATTTGAAAATAAAATTGTTATAACAATCATTCTTGAAAATAAAGAATTTTCATAATATGAAATAATTTTTATTATTTCATATTATAAAAATTCTTTATTTTCAAGAATGATTGTTTTATTATAAATTAATAAAAACGAATTTCAAATTTCATGCAATAACCTCATAGTTTTTAGTTTTTATGACCCTACAAAGTTTACAGCTCCCTCAAATTGAGGGGGTTAAAACTTTATATGGTCATAATTTTCGAAAAATAAGAAATTATTGAATGAAATTTGAAATTTGTTGATGAATATAAACTTAGACAAAAATACTAAAAAAATTTATTTTATCAACTTGTTGCTCCCACATTTAGGGCTGGGTGGGCCCAAAAATTGGGGGTTCTTTGTCCCCAAGCTCCAATCACCACAACTTTTTACAAAACATTCTTAAAATTTATACTTATTTGACATAAGTATGAACATACAAAAGTTTGGAGTTTGCACAATACCTGTAAGTGTCAAAACTCAAACATCTAAAAATCCAGTGTACACCACTGATATATATATATATATATATATATATATATATATATATATATATATATATATGTGTATATATATATATATATATATATCTATCTATCTATCTATCTATATATATATATATATATATATATATATATATATATATGTATATATATATATATATATATATATATATATATATATATATATATATATATATATATATGTGTATATATATATATATATATATATATATCTATCTATCTATCTATCTATATATATATATATATATATATATATATATATATATATATATATATATATATATATATATATATATATATATATATATATATATATATATATATATATTGGTTTCTGTTTATTGACAGCTGTCAAGTATAAACATTGTGGTTAGTAAATATGGAGAAGTATACCATTTAAAATCAGTCATTATTATTAAAAATTATTTGAAGTTTAGTGAAAATATGGAGAAAAAAATTGTGCAACAAACTCCACTATTCAAAATATTGTGAATAAATTTGAGGAAATTAGTTCAATTCAAGATCAAAAAAATAAAATTTACAATCGTAGTGGTTGTTTCCTAAAAATTATTGCTGCTATCAGTGATTCCCTAGAAATTATTGCTGCTATCATTTGACTCTTCACTAAGTGTTAGTGAAGAGTCAAATGCATCAATTCATTATTGTTCAGAGCAATTAGGCATAAGACAAACCACTTTATTCAATATTTTGCATAAGAATCTTCACTTAAAAGCTTACAAAATAAAGTTAACACAACAATTATTGCCAACTGATCATAGATAACGTCATGCATTAGTTAATTAGGCTCTTGCAGCAAAAGAAGAAAATAATAATTTTTTAACAAAGTGATCTTTAGTGATGAAGTCATTTTGAAATTGGTGGGTATGTAAACAAATAAAATTGTTGATTCTAGTGTGAAGAAAATCCGCAAGTAATATTAAAATAACAACTGCAATTGGTGTGCATAATATGTGGTTTCAACAGGGTGTTACAACATGTCATACAACAACAGAAACAATCAATCTTATAAAAATTGAGAAGTTTCTGTTGAAGAAGATCAAATGATTTCTAGAAGAAGAACTGTTTACTTGCCACCAAGATCAAGATCTAACACCATTAGATTTCTTTTTATGTGTTTTTTGAAAAGCAAAAATTCAAAAAGCAATATATATATATATATTATATATATAGTTTGTAAAATTCAGGTTATCATTCGGCTATGCTGACACAAAAGCAGAGATAACTTTGCTTTATGATGTCATTACAACATGCTGAAGTGTCGCCATGCAAAAATAAATAAGTTTAAAAAATATGTAATATAAAAAGTTCATAATTTGTTTATTGTAGTTACTTGTTTTTTCAAGTTTGATAATTTTTATTAAAAAAAAAAATATTCAAGCATAGCAAGGTTATTTATTCATTTAAAAATTATTAAAATTTACTTTTTAAATGTCTGTGGTTCTCTCGCTTTTTTCCTTGAAATTTTAGCATAATTATTATTCTATTAGGTTTTAAAATCTAATATTAATTTGTTAAAAATGTTTATTTACATGTTTACTTAAAACGCTTATTTACATGTTTTTACGATATTATTTAAAATCAGACTTTTAAGTTTTTAAAAACTTTAGACTTTTTAAAAGTCTATTAAGTTTAGTCTTGGTATAGTATACTTGTTAAACACATGTTAATTAAAAAACATTAAACTTTTAAAAAATTTGATTCAAGTTTGGACTATTCACAATAAGAAACATGACAGTTTTACAAGAAGCAAACTCAAAAAATTGCATAGAAATATGCTAATTAGACCTCCCAAAATGAGTTCTTGCCGGTCATTGTTGACTGCTTGAAAAAAAATTAGAGATTTAAAAGCAAGGTTTGACAAATAATCACGATGTTATTCGGAAAATGCATATAATAAAATTTCATAAAATCATTTAAATTTTGAAAAAGTGTTTAAAATAGTTTTATTGTTTATGATACACTACTTTAAGGGGGCACAACCTCATAGACAACAAAATCTTCAATATTAATAGTTAAACAATTTTTACTACATATACAGTATATATAATAAAACTAAGAAAAAAATTAAAAATTCAAAAAAAAAAAATTGGGGTTGTCATGTGGAGCCATGGGATTTTTAAGTGTTGAAAACTTAAAATTTGCCAATTTCGTGGCAAAAACATTCCACAATGTAAAAGATCACAAAGAATAAAATTTTTCATATAACTTCATTTACCTTCTCGAATCCGAATCATTTACCTTCTCTACCCAATCATTTACCTCCTCTACTCGACTTATGTCTTGTTTCTAATCCTAGTCAGTGCTCAGTTTCTCCACACTCACCCTTAGGTGCTTCTGATCATGGTTTGGTCTCTCTAAAACTATTATCTCATTCTTCTTTACCATCAGAATCCCCCTATCTTTGTACATCTTACAACTACCTTAAAGCTGACTGGGACTCTTTCCGTGATTTTCTTCGTGATGGCCCCTGGGTAGAAATCTTTCGTCTTCCTGTTGACAAATGTGCTTCTTACATAACTTCATGGATTCAGGCTGGCATGGAATCCTTTATTCCCTCTCGACGATTCCAGGTCAAGCCTTACTCTTCTCCATGGTTTTCCTCACATTGTGCTGCTGCAATTGCCAATCGAAACCATTACTTCCATATCTATCAGCAAAACAATTCTCCAGAAAATAGACGTCTGTTTATTACTGCTAGGAACCGTTGTAAAAAGGTTTTGTCTAACGCCAAAGCTCGCTATTCTCAGATCATGAAATCTCGTATTTCATCACAAAAATTAGGCTCTTGTGACTTCTGGAGAATCTTTAATAGTATCAATAATAAGGGCAAGTCTGTAATTCCACCTTTTTTGTATGGTTTAGACTTTGTCACCTCACCTAAAGACAAAGTTGAATTGTTTGCCAAGAACTTTTCATCAATATCATCTCTTGATTCCACTAGTTGCGTTCTACCTGATATAGCCGTCAAACAGGTTGATCCACTGCTCGACATTCCTATCACTCCAGCTTCTGTATCTAAAGTGATTTCCTGCTTAGACTCTTCTACAGCTTGCGGCCCGGACAACATACCTGATATAGTCTTGCAGAAGTGTTCTCCGGAGCTGTCGTCTATCCTTTTAAAACTATTTAACAAGATAACAGATGCTGCTGGAAAGCAGCATCTATTATCCCTATTTTTAAAAATTCTGGAGAGCGATCTGATTCATCTAACTACCGTCCCATTAGTCTTCTTCCTATCATAAGCAAGATTTTTGAATCTTTAATTAACAAACACTTAATCTCTCATCTCGAATCTCATAACCTACTTTCTGATCATCAATATGGATTTCGACCTTCTCGTTCTACGGCTGATTTGCTATCAGTAATAACCGATAGGTTTTATCGCGCATTAGATAAAGGTGGAGAGGTTAAGGCCATCGCTCTTGACATTTCTAAAGCGTTTGATAAAGTTTGGCATGCTGGTCTTCTCCATAAGCTTTCTTCTTATGGTGTATCTGGAAACATCTTTAAGATTATTGAATCCTTTCTTTCCAATCGTAGTATAAAAGTTGTCTTTGATGGACAGCACCCTTCTTCTTATTCTGTAACCTCAGGGGTTCCCCAAGGTTCAATCCTTGGCCCTATACTCTTTTTAATTTACATTAACAATCTTCCAGATATTCTCACATCTAAGGTGGCATTGTTTGCTGATGATACTACCATTTATTCTTGTCACAATAAGAAGCCAACTCCCTCTGATTGCTTGCAGGGGGCATCTGAGCTTGAAAAGGATCTCACTTCTGCTACAGCATGGGGCTCTTTAATTCAGATAAAACTCAATTTTTATCGGCCAATCGTTATCGCAATAATTTAGACCTTCCTATATTTATGAACGGTAATGTACTCGATGAGTCTCCTACCTTGCAGCCTTGTTGGAAGCGAATATGTTTTAAAAAAATAAATAAAAAAACCTAATGTTAGAGGTACTTCAAAAACTTTATAACTTATTCTAAAAGTCTGTGCTTCGTTTCTTTAAATGATTTAAAAGTGATGCTAATTTTACCCCCATGTTGACTAAAAACCGGCTATATTTTGTTTTTAACACGTACATTCTTATAGTTTTGAGGTTTATGCACAACTTGATACCTACTCAGCAAACTGTTCAAATATGGAATACTCGAATTATTTACCTTCTCTACTCGACTTATGTCTTGTTTCTGATTCTAGTCAGTGCTCATTTTCTCTATATTCACCCTAAAGTGCTTCTTGATCCTTTTTTTTTTTTGCTTGAACATACTTAAAACATACTTGAAATTTTGAATATTTTTAATTCTTTTTTTCTTAGGATGCACATTGTTGTATTGCAAATCTTGGTGAAGATGAAGAAAAGTATTTGTTTGGTGTGTTTGATGGGCATGGAGGTAACCATATTTTTTAGGATGTTTGGAGTGCATTAAAGTTTAAAATTACCATACATGATTACGATCAACAACAGTAATACACCACCAATGCGCGAACAAATTCCATAAAGGTTAAGATATCAAGTTAATTTTTTTTAACTAAAAAATTTTAAGAAACTTTGTTATTAAAATTTAGGTTTAATTTTGAGTTGCTCATTAGCATCACATGTTCTTAATTGCTTTTTGACATTTCAATAATCTAGCAGTATTTTTTTATTTTTTTTGACATTTCAATAATCTAGCAGTATTTTTATTATATATCAAAGTATAATAAAAATACTGCTAGATTATTGAAATGTCAAAAAAAATAAAGCAGTATTTTTACTATATATCAAAATATAATAAAAATACTGCTAGATTATTGAAATGTCAAAAAAAATAAAAAAATACTGCTAAAAATAATACTGGGTAAAAATCTTGATTTGATATTAAACCACCAATAACATAATGATTTAATAAAATTGATAATTATATACTATGTTTTTTTATGTTTTTTGCTATTTCTTAACTATTTATTAACTATTAGCAGATTTTTTTGTTGAATATCATTTAAAAATTTAAGTTCCAAGATTTTTTGCTTTAAAATTAGGATTTAACAACTTTAGGTATTCTATTAAATTCTATTAAAATTTTAATCAATTGTTATATACTCTATTAAATATGAAGTTTGGAAGTAAGACATCAAATGGTTTCAAATAACACCAACCATAAATCTTTTAAAGATAAGAGATGAATCAAGAAGATTTCAAGAAAAAATTAGAAGGTAATAATGCTGTAATATATGAATCTATTTAAGCTGTATATGCCATATTAGCAACTTAAAAATATCAAGATGGTATCTGCTTAAACCCTATCACTCAATCAATTTATATACTGAAGCTCCTACAAATGGCTAGTTTGATATCATCAATGATGTTTCATGCAAGGATAAGTGCATGGTGTACTTTAGTTTTTCTCATAAAAGCTATCTTTATTTCTAGTTAAAAAAAAGTTGAAACATACCAAATATGCTTTAAAACAAAAAAAAAAAACGTCTTTATATTATGTACTGCCTGTCCAAACAAAAACCTTCTGTCAAGGTATTTACATTTAAATTAGTTAACTTATGTATACTCAGCTGAGCCTGTAGCTAAATAAATCAGTAAATATATTTAAACTTGGTGTGTATCAGCATAATTCTGTTTAACAATAAAAAAAAAAAAAATATAAAAAGTTTTTAATTAAAAAACAAACTATAAAGCTACCTAGTCAATAAAGTTTATTTTTTTGAATTAATGATTAGGATTAAATTTAATTAGTTTCCTAAATTGTCTTAGTCGTATTTATGACATTTATTAACAGATTTTATCTCAGGGCAAGCGAGGCTCTTTTACTCTGTTGAAGCTAACTTACTTAGAACTACGTAGAAGAAAAACTGCAACTTATAACCATGATATCAATTTTGGTAATTTTACTTTATTTTACCTAGTAAAAAAGCTGACCTTTGTAGAGAAAGTTTATGGTTCATTAGATTAGGTCTTTATTTAGACCAAAATGGGGAAAAATTAACTTGTTATCACATTTAAGAGGTTTTAAAGTCAACCTTTATTTTATAAATATTAATCTAAATTTTATTTACTTGTCTCAAAAAGTGTTTTTGAAGCCATTAAGGCAAAAGTAAATACAACTAACTCTTAAGCAAATACTTTGCCATAAGTGCCAACGTTAAATTTCATATTCTAAATTGTACTTTGACTTAACACTCACACCAATTAAGTATTACCACTAAATTTATTAAAATTTGAAAAGAAGTTGTAAGGCTGATAAAAAAAAATCAGATAAAACGCCTAATCTTAAATAATGGGTTTTAAAGATATTGATAGCTATGTTTATTTTGTGTTTATTATATTTTTTTAGTTTCAATCAAAATAAATAATATTAAGTTAATGATAATAAAATTTTACGGTTAATATTCACATTTTTACAGCTACACAAGCTTAAAATTTGTTCTAGTAAATTACTTCTTTTTGAAAAAGAAAATTTTTTGCAAATTTTGCTATAAAAAAAAAAATGAAGGGGTCACAAAACACTGTAAAAATAGCAAATGTGAAAAGAAAATTGCAAAGATGAAATGTGAAATGTGAAAATAAAATTGCAAAAAATAAAATAAAATTGCAAACTGAAAAGAAAAAAGCAAATGTGAAAATAAAATTGTTGAATTTGTTTGTTGTAGCTGTCTGCAACACTATGGGTTAATGTTGAAGTGGATATGCTATCTAGCAACTATTAACTTAAATATTATTAAGGTAAGACACCTTTTTCTTCTATTCATAATAATAATTCTATCTTCACCAATTGCTAAAACTTGTAAAATTTTAAAGCACTGTGTGTTTGGTCACAAACTGGTTTTCGTTGCACTTGTATAAGGCTTTTAAATAATATTTTCAATATTTTATCTTAAAATTTTAAATTGCAATTTTTTTTACTAAAAATCAGTTTAAGTAATAGAGATATTTTAATATAACACTTAATCTCCTCACAGAACATTTAAAAACGTATGACAATTAGTGACATATATTATTGTTTAAAAAGACTTTCAAAATAAAAAAATAAGCCTTTATGTTTGAATCAAGTAAATAATCTATTGAACTGTCAAGTCCTTTGTTTTAATACTTATGTAAATGGCTGTACTGCTTAGTAACAATTTTTAATTAACAGTATAATAAAGCTCAAGCACCACAGCAGGTTTGGAGCATATTTAATAAATTAATTTGTTGTTTGGCAGACTGTTTATTAGTTTCATTAACTTAAAAATATTTATATTAGTTTCATTAATTTTATTATGTTATTTCATAGTTTAAAAATAAAAAATATACTATGTAATAATAGATAATAAAATTAATAGTTGTAATATTCTACAATTGCTTGGGTTGCATTTTATTTTTAGTTGCTTAAATCAGCTATACAGATCTTGTATCTATGACCTTAATTTCCATTTTTCCATTTTAAAAAACACATTTAATTGACATGCCTTTTCTTTTTATTGACAATATACTAATAAAAAAAGTTAAAAAAAAAAAAAAGTTTGTAAAAAGTAAAAAGTTTTACCAATTTTTTTAGTGTATATAGATAGAATAGATTCTTAATGATGAAGATAGATTCTTAATGATGAATCTACTATCGTAAGATGCCTAACAAGATCTGCTACCTTGTTAGGCATCTAATTATATCCTACTATACTATTTTATCCTAGTATATTATTTTATAATTCTTATGATTAATGGAACAATACTTATAATAACAATACAATAATTTGTTATTTTTTTGACTGATTCTTAAGAAACTGCTCATGAGGGCAAGGCATCTCATTGGCATGATTTTCTTATGTAGGAAGTTATGTTTATATGAATTCTATAAAATACCAAGAATGATTAAATGGTTTTAAATGTTATTATGCTAATTACAAAATAGAACAGCGCAGGAAAAGCAATAAGTTATAGTAACAGAGTTGATAAACTTAAGTTAAATTTGCTGTTCTGAAAGTTCAGATTTTAAATTAGCCATATAAATTAGAAAAACATTACATCTTTTGAAAATTCATTTAGAAAATCTCAGATTAACTTAGTTATTTATGTCATGAGGCTATTCTAGTTTATCATTTACATTTAGTAGTCTGTCATTGTTGTAGAATCAAATAGAATACAAACACCTGAGGTATCGTGTAATAAAAGAAGACAGAAAACATTAAAGCCACTATGAATTTTGTATACAACTAAACCACCACTATATTTTGTATAGTGGTGGTTTAGTTGTAGAACACTTGTCTTGTGAGAAAAAAGTTTTAAGCGAAAATGTCAGATAAATAAAGATTCACATTCAAATAATCAGACAGGCTTAACTATTTGAACTTCTTTTCTTTTGAAATACAATATATCAAAACTAAAAACATAACAATCAAATAATGTAAGTAATCATAGAATGTTTCTAAAGATAAATCAATTCAAATTTAAAAAAAAAGAATGTTAGTAATAAGTCACAGCCACCTCTCAGGTACTATTTGTATAATAAAGTGTTCATCTGGTTGGCTTTAACTAAAGAGGTAATTCAAATTCAAAAAAAGATTAATTCAAGTTATTGCATAAAATAAGGATTCTTTTTTAGATTCAGGAACTTTATTGTTTATTATTAAAATATTTATTACTTATTATTAGCACAATGCAATTTATTTTAAAAAAAAATTGTGCTTAAAAATTTAAGAAATATTAAAATAGTAATCATTTAGATATGTGAATATAGCTGTGCATGAAACATCCTATACTGAAACAAACATCTATGGGGGCTTCAGTACATACATTAACTGTTCTTTTTCTGAAAAAAGTGTCTAGATTAAGTTGGTACTGTGCTGGGCTAAATTTACAGCAGTAGAACAAATTTAATTGCAGATTAAGAATATTAATAGATTTGGGTTTTTAGTTTTTTAAAATATACACTCACTATGTTTAGGTTTTGGTTCCAGCGGATTTCACAAAAAAATTGTTGTTAACCTGTCTAAATAGTTCAATTAACAACATTTTTTATTATTTTAAGTAATACCTCTTTTATATTACGTTTTAGGTAAAGAGGTTGCTGAATACTGTGCTCAAAATATAAGCAAATTTCTCCTTGATACAGAAGCTTACACTGAAGGTAACATTAAAGCTGCATTAAAAGAAGCTTTCATGACAATTGATGAAGCAATCACGTGTGATGAGGTATAATATGAAGAACACTTTTTAGTTTATGTAATAAAAATTAGTTATGTGATTTGTCCTATCTGTTGTTGTATAATAGTAATATATCAACTTTTAAGATACTATACTTCTTACGCTTCTTATCTATGTTATGAAAAGGTTTGGATACTGTACTCACTGTTAAAAAATGTGAAAAGTATACTAGTAAAGGTTAAGGCTAGTGAAAGTTGTGATATTTGCGTTTTTGTGTTATATCATATGAAAAAGTAAATGTTACTTTGCATTTTAATTTAAAAGTGCATTAATTTTGAAAAAATTTAAAAGTGCACATTTTGTTCAACTAATTTTTAAGACTTGATAACTAAAGATTTATATTGAAGTGTTGCAGGTTTTTGAAGTGTTGCAGATTTTGCCATATATTTACAATTTTCAATTAAGGTTTACAGTTTTTTATAGAACAAACACGAATCTAGCGTAATTGTAAATAACATTTATACATTTATACTATCCAAGGTTTGGGTAGTATAAATGGAATTTATACTATTCAAACCTTGGATGTGTGTGAATTTGTATGGGTATACAATTAATAAAACATTGTAAAAACCCATCCATATTTCCTTAAGACTTTTTTTTTTTTTTTTTTTTTTTTTTTTTTTTTTTTTTTTTTTCTTTTGAATGATAGGAAAATTCTCTCAAACTAAAATGTCAATAACAAGTTCATTTTTTGTTACTTTTTCTCAATAATTATCTTTTTTCAAAGGAATACAGAAAACATACAGTAAAAGATTTATAATCAGTAAAAAAAAAAATTAGCGTATAACCTTTTTAATTGATTTCTGTTCTACTTTCTTGTCAACCTAACTGTTATTCATAATTATTTTAATAACTTATATGTTAGTTTGACAATTTCCCATAAAAGGATGGATAAAATTGATTGAGATGACCAGTTTAGTCACACTTAATACCTTTTTAAATATTTTGATAAAATCTAAAAGCAAATATACAAAAAAATGGGTCAAAAAGCAGTAAGCAAAGCAACAAAATGGCAAATAATAGGTATGAAGGATGGCATAATGATCAATAGCAAAATTGAAAGAAAATACAAAATTATAGAGAATCGCGTCAAATATACTCTAAAAACATTTTTTTTTTAAAAAAATCGCTTCCAACAAGGCTGCAAGCAACCACTATTACAGTTTGAAGTTACTGGAAGAGAAAAGATGAAGTTTGTAGAGCAAGATAACAACTTCAAAGACTGCAAATTATATGAATCAGTAAAGCAAGATGAAGGCGATTTCCAAAGAATTGATGTTCAAGGAAAAAAACTAGAATGAAAACTAGAGTTTGGGGAGCATTTAAGAACAGTCACGGAAAAAAGATGAGACTTAATTGAATGATAAGTAACACAAGAATGAATTTTAGTAGATGGCACAAGAGACTCTAGCTCTTAAAAGCAGTGCCCATTATACTATTTGTAGAAAAGAGAAAGAGAACATCATGTTGATGTGATAATGATTGGAGGTTGGCTGCAAGAACAGGTCCAACTATGTTTACAATGCATTTTTGCACCTTGTCTAGAAGAGAAAGAGCATTGTTAGAAGATCTGCCCTAGATATGGCAACAGTATTCCATACAAGGATGGATTTGAGATTTACAGAGATAAAGAATAGAATCTGAAGTAAGAAAGTGTTGAGCTTGATAAAGAGATGCATCCTTAGCAGATGCAAATTTTGAAATGGATTTGATATATGGTTTTAAAGAAAGTCCGATCTTTCTAAGAGTAAGTAAGAGTTAATCCTAGAAGATGAAGGATAGATGACTTATCGAGTATATTACTGTTCATAAATATAGGAAGATCTAAATTATTGCATAACAATTGGCTGAAAAAAAATTATATTTTATCTGTATTAAAGTTCACCAGTTACTGTGAGCCCCATGCTGTAGCAGAAGTGAGATCCTTTTCAAGCTCAAATGCCCCCTCCAAGCAATCAGAGAGTGTTGGTTCCTTATCATGACAAGAATAAATTTTAGTCATCATCAACGAATAATGCCACCTTAGATGTGAGAATATCTGGAAGATCATTAATGTAAATTAGAAAGAGTATAGGGCCAGAGTTTGAACCTTGAGTAATCCTTGAAGTTACAGAATATGATGAAGAGTGCTGTCCATTAAGGACAACTTTTATACTATTGGATTGGAAAAGAAGGATTCAATAATCTTAAAGATGTTACCAGATACACCGTAATCATGTAAGAAAAAAGCTTATGAAGAAGACCAGCATGCCAAACTTAATCAAAAGCTTTAGAAATGTCAAGAACAAAGCCTTAAATTCTCCACCTCTATCTAATGCATGATAGAACCTATAGATTATTACTGTTAGCAAAACAGCTGTAGAACGAAAAGATCGAAATCCATATTGATGATCAAAAAGTAAGTTATTTGATTCAAGATGAGAGGTTAAGTATTTGTTAATTAAAGATTCAAAAACCTTGCTTATGATAGAAAAAAGACTAATGGGACGGTAGTTAGATGAGTCAGGGTTTTTGAAAAATATCAGGTAGAACACAGTTAGTGGAATCAAGAGATGATATTGATTAAAAGTTCTTAGCAAACAATTTAGCTTTGTCTTTAGGTGAGGTGACAAAATCTGAACCATACAAGAGAGGTGGAACAACAGAATTTCTCTTATTATATATACTGTTAAAAATTCTCCAGAAGTCACAAGAGTCTAATTTTTGTGATGAAATATGAGATTTCATGACCTGAGATTAGCAGGTTTTGGCATTAGTCAAAACCTTTATACAATAGTTTCTAGCAATAATAATCAGGTCTGTTTTCTGGAGAATTGTTTTGCTGATAGATATGGAAGTAAAAGTTTTAATTGGAAATTGCAGCAGCACAATGTGAGGAAAACCATGGAGAAGAGTGAGGCTTGACCTGGAACCGTCAAGAAGGAATAAAAGATTCCATGTGAGCCTGAATGATATGTAAGATATGTAAGAAGTACATTTGTTAGCAGGAAGATGAAAGATTTTTACCCAAGGGCCATTATAAAGAAAATCACGGAAAGAGCTTCAGTCAACTTTAGGGTAAGAGGTATGATGATAGGGGGATTCTGATGATGAAGAAGAAAGAGATAATAGTTTTAGAGAAATCAAACCATGATCAGAAGCACCTAAGTGTGAATTTGGAGAAACTGAGCACTTACTAGTATCAGAAACAAGACATAAGTCGAGATAAGAAGGTAAATAATTTAAGTTGTCAGGGAAGGGAGTTTGAAAGTTGACTATTTGAGTTAGAGATAGAGAAAGGCAAAAGTTGTTGGTCTAAATGCCTGCAGAGTCACTGACACTAGAGCCAAGTTATTCTGTGTGATGAGCATTCAGTGTGATGAGTCACCAACAACAACGATATTGGCTGATGAATAAAGAGAGAAGGCTGGGTCAATTTGATCAGAAATGACATCAAAAAGAGTGCAGTCTTGAGATGAAGCAAAGCGATATAGAACAAAGAAAAAAACGATAGACTGAAGTGGTGCTAAACGAAAGCACATAAATAAATAGTCGGTGGATTCAAACCTAATTTCCCGACAAATGGGTGATTTCTTACATATGTAAATGTCGTGGCTAATCATTTGACTATTGGAGTCTTTACAAATTAAAGAAAGATAACCATCAACACTAAGATCACAAGATAAGATAACTGAAATCAAATTAGTCTCACAAAGAGCAAGTAGGTCTGGTGAACTTTGCAAGAGATAAGACTCAACAGAAGAAAAGTTACTTTGAAACCACCAATATTAGTTAATGATAGGTTTAGAGAACTTGGTGATGATGATGGTTTTTGTGTTTTATAGTTTTTGTGTTTTTTTGGTCATTTTTAAATTTGTTAAAGAACTTGATTCAAGGCATAGATGGTTCTCAGTACACTATTTGATAGTCCAAGCAATTGCTTCATTACTATTAATAAACCCTTAGCCATAACAAAGGACTCCAAATGTAGCCTTGACAATGTACATAAAAAGTAACAGGTACACTATCCATGCATAACATGACATTGTTGATACTCTAAAATTTTTTAGCTGTTGATGGAATCAGCTTCTCTGAGAGCAACCATAGAGTTTGGGGAATCTGACTACCAGCCGGTTTCAACCATAAAACTGAGTTTTAGAGCTGTACCCTCATCAGGAGATAATAGAATGAGTTGTTTAGTCATAAAAACAGAGACACTAACAAAATCCATGCATTGAGTCAAGAAGATCCGGCATTTAACATCTCAAACTGTAAACAATGTATTATAAATACATTTGCACCAGCCTAATAGATAAAGAAGGGGTGCGAGGCTGGTCAACAGATAGGATCTGTTTTCCCCATAAGTTTTTGCCTAGGAGGCCATCTACAAGACAGTAGCTGAATGCGTTTAACATCTGCCCAAGATAAGTATTTTTATCGAGACACTATCTCAGACCTTTACTCAACAAGAGCTCCAAGGCAAGGGGTGTTTCAAGATGGACTTGGCTTCTGTTTTTAAATAATCATTTTCTTCATATTTTTAAATAATTATTTAAAACAACAGGTGGCATTAGGCGTTCTGCAGAATCAGGAAGGTTAAAAATAACTACTAAGCACGAAAATAATCTTATATTTCAATTAAGAGTTAATAGAAGGTTAAATTATTGTAAATGCATTCAACGAAAACTGTGAAAAAAATTATTTTGTCAAATACAGTTAAAAATATTTTATAAAGGAGAAATTTGGTGTCTATGAGCTGTTAAAAAATCTTTGTTGACAGCCAGAGAAGTGGAAGTTTTTGTCACTAAAAATTACTTGGAAGCAAGTAATTTTTGGTGACAAAAGTAACTTTGAAGTAATAAAAAGTAAAGTTCTTGTCAAAATATTTAAATCATATCACATTTATACAGGTTGAATCAATAAACAAAAATAAATAGAGACGAATATATAGTTATATAGAAATTGATTGAAACAAATGGTTGCAAATTCAACAAGATTTGGTGCCTGCCCACACAGCTATTACAGTAAAAGTATGAAAGAAATTAAAGTAGATTTATTGGCCTAGCTAGCTCCATTACCAGATTTTAATCCAATAGAATCTATTTGGGCTTGAATGGAAAAAGAATTAGTTAAGGTGCAAATATGATCCATAAATAACCTAAAGCAAGAATTAGATTTCATTTGGAGAAGAGTTTCAAACAAAACCTGCAACAATCTTATAAAATCAATGCAAAAAAGATGTTGCTTGTAAAAAAGCAAGGGGAATGTTCTAAATTCTAGCTTAGTTGTTATTTTTATTGCTTTAAAGTTTTTTTTGAAAGCACTGTGTGTGTGTGTGTCTATATATATATATATATATATATATATATATATATATATATATATATATATATATATATATATATATATATATATATATATATATATATATATATTATTTTTTTTCAGTTTACAAATATACATTAAATATACGTAAATTTTGTATTTGTAAATATTGGTTAATAAATAATATTATAGTATTATTTAATTATCTTCTTTTATGTTTTACGCAAATATAACATAGATAATACGCTTCATTGCAAGTTTTATTTTTGATTATTTTTGTTGTTATTTTTGGTTTACTTTACCGGATAATTTATTTTACCGAAAGTATCAATAAATCTTTTATTATGAAAATGTAAATAAAGAGTTTTTGAATAATAAAAATAAATTAATAAAATAATTTATTAAACATATTGAAAAATCTTAATACGAAAATAACTGACGTCAATAAAAATTGTTAAAAGTTTTTTTAAACTTTTGAATGAATGATCTCGTTAATGTTATTGACACTTGTTAATGACAACTTGTTTTTACACATTAAAAAAATCTCTCAATTTAATTCATTTTTTCGTCATGCATACTAATTGCGTTTTTTACTTGTCTAGCGCGACACTTTAAATGTGAGACTGATTTAATTTTTAATTTTTTTTACTATGATCTTATGAACCTTAGGGAAGTTTAAACCAATTGGGAATACCGCGTTATATGCAGTGCCTTCAGGCTGGCTAACACCCTGATATAATATATATGTATATATATATATATATATGTATATATATATATATATATATATATATATATATATATATATATATATATATATATATATATATATATATATATATATATATATATATATACATATATATATATTCCTTATTATTTTTTTAACAAAATTGCATCTAAAAGTTAGCAATTTTTTAATAAGAAATTTATTAAAACTATAAGATAATTGTTTTTTTAATGTGATTTTATTATGATTTGATTTGTAACAGTTTTATTATAGCATTATTTTTCGTCTGAGAAAAATTTATTATTTTATTTATCACATTTAATAAAAAAATAAAGAAATTATTAGGCTACTCTTATATATGTTTTTATAAAATGACTTCTAAAAAAATAATTTTATGAAGTTTTTTTAATTTAACATAAAGTTCAAGTTAACCAAAGAAATTAGTTAAATGGGGATGAAAAAATGTAAAACATTACTAAAATGTTGCATTAAAGTCAACTTATGAGAAAAATTTCTTTTGAAGTAAAATGGAAACATGTCTTATATCCGCAACTTTGTAAAGTACTTTATAATACTATAATGTAAATACACATACTGTGTTCCATTACTCGACATCTCGTTACATTAAATTTAAAAATGCAAGCAGTTGTTAAAGGAGCAATAGTCAGAGTGTAGTAGACAACACATAACAGCAAATATTTTCAGTTATTTGCTATTTGTTATTTGCTATTTTTTATTGAAGAAGTCAAATTTAAAATAAATTTTTGGTAATTTGCTCAAGATTTTTGACACTGCAAAATCATTCCATATCATGATTTGTGTCCGAAAACTTTCATAGTTGTTGCTGAGATGTCTTTTATAATACGTCTAACTGCCTGAGAATGGCATGGAATACCCCTCAAGACATCAACGTGGAACTAAAAATATTAATGATCATCACTAGAAACAGGTAATAAAAGTGGTGGTGGTATTGCAATAGCAACAGACCAGTTTATTATCTTTATGAATGACAAACCTTTTGGAGATCAAGCTTGATGCTTGATTTATCAAAGACTTAGTGATGTAGCTTGTGTGTCGATTATTTTGTCACACAAAATCTGAGGAATTGATACATTTTTATCTATAACTCCTCCAAGAAGAATGTTCTCAGGATGAACTAAATAACAGTTATTTTGCAACACTGGTTTAATAATTGTCCAGTCTTTCTTCTCAAGTTTATACCACTGCCTCATACTGTAGAAGAAATTTCATGCTCGGTCAAGGCAGGAAGTATGATGCTTTATGTTGTAACACGGTGAGACATCAACATTTATGATGAATCTTGTAGTTCTATTCAATGGTTTTGAAGGATTTCCCTTAGACATACAAATATAAGTACTGGAGGAACAATATTTGATCACAAGCAGTGTATCCCAGCTGAACAGCTTTGAGAAGGTCTGATCAGAGCTTAAATCTTTTTTATCATCAACACTTAAATCCTCAATTTTACCAGCTATATGTTTTAAGTTAACAATAACCAAATTTGAAGTCGCTGGGTCTGTTGAACATCCACCATCAAGATTTGAGAACTATTTTTTAAAAGATAGTATATATGATTTAGTTAAAAAAACAAAAAAACATTGAGTATATTTTTAAAAACATTAAAAATGATTTTAAAAACATTTAGAATGATTTTAAAGACATTCTAGTCTTTTAATTTTCATTTTTGTGGTTTAAAAAAAATGATAAATTCAATGCGTTTTGACATAATTATATATAGATTATATATAGATTTTTTCTATCAGAATAGATATAATTATATTTTGATAAATAAAAAAATTAAGATTTAAAAAATATATAATTTAAATTTTATTTAAAAAATATATAATTTAAATTTTATTTAAAAAATATATTTAAGTTTATTAAAATTAAAGTTAATGCTTGGGCTTAACTGTCAAATTTATTCTAAAATATTACTAAATATTATTTAATATTGAAATTTTGTTTGTTCTTTAAAAAAAAAACTAATTTTTATCACAATTGTTTTTTGATTTTCCTTCCTAAACATTTTTTTTTTACTCAAAATTAAATTTAAAATAAACAGCTGCATCAAAAATTTGCACAAAACATAAGCTAAATTTTTTTTTTATAATGAAAGTTAAATTGCAGCGATTATTTTTTAATAAATGATATATACAGCAATATAATTTTAATAAATGATATTTGGAAAAATAACCTTTTCACAACAAAATCTTTTTTTGTTTTCACAACAACATCGTTAATAAGATAATAAACTTTTGATAAATAAATTAATGTAATTTTTTTATTTGTTACTCGCTAATTTTTTTAAATAAAAAATCGTTTGTAGTTGCAATGCCGCAATTAGAAATTTAACAATTAACTCATTTTGTGGTAATTTCAGTCCAGTAATTTAAAAAAAGTTGATGTCTTTAAAAAATAAAAATAGTTTAATGACGTCTAATTTACATTAGGCTATTGCGTTAAGCATTTTTTATTTAAAATAAGGCCTATATATATATATATATATATATATATATATATATATATATATATATATATATATATATATATATATATATATATATATATATATATATATATAGATAGATAGATAGATAGATAGATAGATAGATAGATAGATAGATAGATAAATAGATAGGTGTTGAAAACAAACTTGCTACATCATGCTTATAAAGCTGGCATTCTTTATATATATACTGCTACTGTAGTATGTGTTAAAGTGGTTGCTTCATTAGCAAGATGTACCAGGTTTGGCCCCTACACATGTCCCGGTGATGTCATGTTGATTCTATACTGGGCAGGTGAGGTTCTTTAGTCATGAGGGAGGCAACTTATCTTGTAAAATTCCGGTAAAAAATCCCCAATTTAGTTGTGAGTAAAGGTAAGAGGAGCTAGTAAAGTTTGGATTGTAATCTTTAAAAATGCAATTTGTTAGCTTTAATTTGACCTCTAATATATATTCTTATTTTTTTAAGGTTATAGCAGAACTTAAAAAACTTGGAGAAGACAATGAAAATGATGCAGACGATAATGATGAGGATGAAGCAGAAATGCTGCTTAAAGAAGCAAATATGCCTTTGGAGGAAGTTCTGAAAAAATTTACAGTAAAAATATTTGTTCAATTGTACAATTCAAATAAGTGGAAAATCAAATACTGAGAGTTGGAAAAACAAATAAATTATTCAGCAATCAGTTAAAATTAAGCAAGTTATAAATCTGGATTTTGCTTTTTCTGGTTTTGCTTTAGACAGGCATATAAATTTTTTAAAAGCTTGCTGAAACTTATTTTATATTAACTTATTAAGGAAAAAAAATTGCACTTATGTTGAAATTATTGTTTGTTATTTTCTTTTATTTTTTTTTAAAGAACGAGATTAAAGTAAAGCTTATTTCAAATGGATTAGCTCATGATTCTGAAAATGAGGACGAATCAGGTGAATAAGTTTTATAATTTATAAATACATAATTCTCTAGTCATTATGTCAGCATTACAAACAATTAGATTTATATCATTTTGAAATAAAATTATAGAATTTAGAATTATATCATTTTGATCTGAAATAAGGTTTCTTATATGGTTTCTATGAATTTATTTATTAAGATATTGTTTTTAACTTAATTTACTTACTTTAAATACATTTTATGCATTAAATACATACACATTTTATACATGAAATATATGCATACAAATACATACAAAAATACTTACTTTAAATACAGGTAAAACAAAAGCTGTCATCCAAAATTCCTTTAGTTTTATCAAATTATGTACTCAAAAATATCTTTTTAAAATTTTAAAAACAAATTTAGATACAGAAAGATTAAAATATCTTTAAAAACATTTTTAACAATAAACTTTTTTTATCATATAATTTATTACAGGTTTAAAACTTATAGAGCCCAAGGCATGATGGGAACCTTTACCCTTAATTCTGAATTAAAAAAAAAAAGTAAATAAAATTGTATTTCATCTTATTTTTTATTATTGCTTTAGGTGTATAAATCAGGCTTGGTTGGGTAGCGGGTGCGATTGCACTTGATAACTGACCACGGAAATAATATTTAGTTGGCCAGATATTTTAGTCGTTTTGAGAACATTTAAATTTATGTATGTTTCCTTAATTAAGTTCATTATTTTAACGAAAATTTTGAAATATTTTGTTAACGAACATACATGGAAACAAACATAAACTCAAATGTTCTCAAACAATCTTTGTGCGGAAAGTAAAAAAAAACACAAAAACCAGCCAAATCTACAAACAACTAATTCTATTGGTTCAAAAAATACTAACCTAAAGTATACTATACCTACGAACAACTAATTCTATTGGTTCAAAAAATACTAACCTAAAATATACTATACCTACGAACAACTAATTTTATTGGTTCAAAAAATACTAACCAACTAATTCTATTGGTTCAAAAAATACTAACTAAAAAATACTAAAATTTCTAATAATAAATAATAATCATCAAAGTTAATACAAATAATTTTAACCACTAATCCATTTTCCTCAGTGTACCCGATAACTGATTTTTTCCCCCAAGAAAGAAAAGTTTTTAAGTTCTTAGAAATTAGTTTACTAACTTCAATTATTTTTGCTTCAGCCATTTTTACAAACTTGTTATACTTAAACTTAAAGTTACTTTTTTCTGTTTAATACTAATAAAAATTATAAAGCCCACTCACTAATCATCATCGGCGTTATTATGAAGCAGTTCCGCTTCCTCCTCATATAGTAATTTAACGTTTTTGGTTAATTTCTAATTAGCTAACTGAATTTCTACATTAACTCAATGATTTGATTATTTCATTTGTTCATCTTACTAAGAAAAATTATTTTAAATGTGTTAAACTTTTCAAACTACGCGAAAGAATAAAACAGAATAAGAATAAAACAGTTATTGAAAAAAACTTTTTTATTAATAAATAAATCACCTAGCGTTAGTTTTATTGGTTGAATTTTGTTGGACTTTTCAGGGCCGGGGACTGCATTATTTTGGTGGCCTTTTTTATGTGCCACAGCGTAAAAATGACTGAAAAAAATACCGAATGGTCCTCTTGATTATTTCGCGGCCCCTAACATTGTGAGTCCCGAGGCTATAGTCCTTCTACTCCCCCACACCCCCCATCTCCTCAATCCAGCACTGTAAATAAGACATAAGTGTATAAATAAAAATTATATATACTCTTTGATAAATCGGATAACATTTGTTACTTTATTAAACAATTATTAATAGTAAGTTGTTACTTTATATAAAAATGTGACATAGTTTTATAAAAAGAATTATAAAAAAGCGACGTTTCAAAAGTATTTGCTCTAATTGTATTTGTTTTTCCTAAAAAAATTTCGCGTTAAAAGCTATTTTTCTTTTTTTAACTGTATCTCATCGGTCCAGTTAATCTTTTCGCGCTTTTTTGTTTGTTTTTTAAATGTTCTCAAAACGACTAAAAAATCTGGCCTGTTTTTTGCAACTAAATATTATTTCAGTGGTCAATTATCAAGTGCGATCGCACCCGCTTCCCAACCAAGCCTGATAAATTAGACACATAACTTTAGAACACTCACCACTCATCCTCTTTCTTTAGCTGCAAGAAATTTTAAGGCTATGGGATGCATGAATCTGACTTTAATATTACATCTTCAGTAATCTCTACTTGCAAAAATCATAAAAACATGCAGTATAATCCATTTGTTTAATAAAATCTTTTTTCTTTTGTTTTAGAATAATATCAATTACTTCAGTAACTGTACAGGGTGCGGGTAAAGTTCGGAAACTTTCTAATAAAGGGTTGTATTACAATTTATTAGTTGAAAAAAATATAATAACCTAAGAACATCAAAAATATATACAATTTTAAATTACAAAAGTTCATTTTCAAAAATTCTTCCATTTGCTCTGATACAAGCTCCGAGACGCCGCTGGAACTGATCGATTGCAGCGTGCACCATTTTTTCATCGATTTTGCTCCACGCTTTCGCCAAATCGCGCTTCAACGATACCACTGACTTATGTGGTTTAAAACAAACCTTTGCCTCTAGAATTCCCCAGATGGCGTAGTCGAGTTGGTTCAAGTCTGGCGAAACGGTGGCCATTGCTGAAGCAACCAAAATGACGGAAAATTGTTTTTACAAAATTCTTGCGTCGTTCTTGCTCGATGTGCTCGAAAGATCCAATTTTGGTTTGGATAGGTTTGTTGGGTCCAAGGTAGCACTACGACTTGATGAATGTCGGTGACATAGTTGTTGATGTTGATTTTGATTCCATTTTGTACAAAAATAAGCTTTGTTTTGCCCAAAAATGACACTCCAGCCTAAACCATCACTCCAGCTGGCTTCTGGGTGCGTGAAACGATGTGACCTTTTTTATTAGCCTCAGAAGATCCTGAAGCAAGTACACAATCATTTTAGACATTGTGGGCTTGCTCAACACTGAAGAATTTTTTGTCTGAAAAAAGAACTTTTCATTGAAATTGAGCACTGTGCTCCCGTAACAACCTTTGACATCTTTGTTTTCTTGTTTCGCATTTTTTGTCATCTAGATGCTGGGCTTTTTGAAGCTTTAAAGACTTTAGTTAAAGTTCTTTTTTGACAATATGATGGACACTGTGCTAATCAATGCTGATTTCTCTGGCCATTTGTCTCATTGAACGGTGGAACTTTTTTCGAATTCGGTCTTAGATTAGTTTGCGGTTGGCAGGAGTGTTAGCAGTGCATGGTCTTCTACTACAAAGACGGTCCTTAGTTTGGCCCAACTCCTTGAAACGTTTAATTGCTTTAGACACCACAGTTTTAGTGACATTGAGTAAACGCATAATTTCTTAGGAAAATTTGATGTTTACATCAAATCAAAAGATTTGACATACGAATATATTAGACATACAAATGTTTTCTGGTTAAATAGACATCTGAAAATAAAACATATAAGGACATTTAATACATCATTCAATTGATTATAGACTGCACGTTGGTTAAAAATGATTAACTAGTTTATGAGTAGTATATGAAGATTTTGTTAAAGCCAAAATGTTAAAAAAAAGGTTGAAAAGTTTTTATTTATTTTTTGACCGTTATGTGGTCCTAAGTGCCAAGATAAATTGGGTTCATGTCATAAAAAATCCTTGAAAAATAAGTTTCATGCTAATCAAATTTTCCAGAACTAATAATTTATCGAGATATTAGGGAAGAACTTTATAATTTTAAAGGCCTTTTTTTTTTCTCGAAGGTAAGTTCCTGTTCCAAATACTGGTCTCATTAATGCGCTTTTGTAGTTAATAATTTTGATATCAATACAAAAAAAAGTTCTTTCTGACTTGATTTATAAATGTTATATTTGGGTTTTCCCTTTGGCGTTAAATTTTATGTAGAAGAATTTCATTATTTTTTTATAGAACGAACCAAACTTTTTAAAACCGATTAAAAATAATGTGATCAATGAATAAACTTTTTAAAAGCCCAACTTATATTTATTTTATTTTAAAAACAAAACTAATACTAGTGTTATAAATATAAGATACGTAAATTTCAAAATTATGCTTATATTTGTTAAAAAACAAGTCCACCTAATAACATCTTAAAACTAAAAATACTATTATACTTTTTGGATTTAGTAAGAAATAGTAAAAATACATTAGGTTTTACGGTACATAAAAATAAAATATTTTAATGGAAATATAGAAAAAAACAAAGCAGAAAAGCGGTAATTTTTATGTGTTCCCTTATGTGATCCCTAAATGCCAAGACAAGTTGTGTTCATGTCATAAAAAATCCTTGAAAAATAAGTTTCATGCTAATCAAACTTTCCAGAACAAATTATTTATTGAGATATTAGCGAAAAAATTTATAAATTTTAATGCCATTTTTTTTCTTGAAGGTAACATATTACTATATTAGGGGTCGCCAATCCCCTCCTCCCCCTCCCCTCTGCAATTTGCTGTACGCTTTTTTGAGTACTCTCTACCTCTATAAAAGTACCTACGCTTTTAACCTACTAACCCAACATTTTATGATAATTTTTTTAATTTAGTGTCTGTAATTGACCTACTGGCCCCTTATCTCAGAAACTCCATTTGCAGACCTCCTCTTCCTCTCCGAGCATACGTACTTTATGGACGATCCCTTACTTTAAAAATCATTTAATGTCTACCATTGAAAAAGAAATATAAATTTAAAATATTAAATTATTATTAAGAGTAATATATTTGATTTATTTTTAATCTTAATATGATATATTAAGATTAAAAATAAATCAAATATATTACTCTTCGGAGCTTAATTTGCAGTGTCGTTGTGAAACTACGCCTGATTGTTTATTGATTTCATTTTTATCTTCAATATATGTTACAGACGGTATTTTATTTTATTTTTGACGCCGTCCAATCAAATAATGCAGCACTGAAGCAAAAGTATAAGAGAAGAATCCTACACATTTC